CCACACATCACTCTGAGAAATACATTAAACACTTAAAACATTGAGTTTTTAAAGAAACATTAACATTAAAACCCAAATCCTACAGTCCCTCTGTTCTGTTGTCCTGTTAGCCCTCCTCCCTCCCAGTGAGGAGTTGAACAGCATTCATGGTAATAGAAAGCAACAGGGAGGTGGGATGAGTAGCGCTCACATGAGATTGATTGACAGCGCTAAGACCTGCCTCCTGGTTCTGATTGGTTGTTTCTAGTTAGTACTGGGAGAAGGTGAAGCAGCTCCGTTTTTTTTTTATCTGCACATACGTTAATGTCACAACATAGTGACAGTTTCAATAAAAATGTAAACAAGTTTTTTTATTAGAGTCTATCTAAAATTAAGGCCTTAAAATGTATTAAATTTATTTTAGAAAATGTGAGTTGGCACTGCGCTAAATTCATAACACCATAACACCTACACCTCCAGGTTTCATTTATATCTCTCATCTCTCTCTGAAGTCCAGTCGAGTCTCTGCGGGTCAGGGTCAGGTGACCGGACCACTGCTCTGTCTGTTCCAGGTTCGTTTCACGCTGAACGGACCAAGGAGCTCTACAAAGACCTGCTGAGTGTGTTTGACAAGCTCATTCTGCCGACTCACGCTTCTGGTCACGTGCAGTACACGCTGTTCTACCTCTGCAGCTTCAAATTGGTCAGTATGCCAGAACGGGAAACGGGCCGTCGTCCTGCCCGTCCTCCGTCTGAGCTGCAGTGTGTGTGTCTGTGTCCCCTGGTCCAGGCTCTAGCCGAGGCTTTCCTCGATCACCTGTGGAAGGTTCTGCAGAATCCGACGCAGCCCGCCATCCTGCGCCAGGCTGCAGCCGGATACATGGGGAGCTTCATGGCCCGAGCCAAGTTCGTCCCTGTGCTGTGAGTCTACAAGGGTTCTCAAAGTGGAAGCCACCAGAGGGCGCTAGAGGCGCATCAGGGAGTTGGAGGGAAGATGAGGGGAAAAATGGAAAAAGAATTGGATTTTTTTTTTCATAATTTCATTATGATTGTTTTTAATCATAAAATCTAATCTGTTTTTCAATCATTATTATAAAATAAAGGTTTAATTGATTTGTTGAAATGTGATTTTTCTGGTTAGTTGCCTGTCAAACTGCTTTGCTTCTTAAGGTAGCGTAGCAAACGGGAAATTTGAAAAGTCTGTCAAGAAAAAGAGTGAAGGATCTGTCCAGCAGCTGCTGTGGAGGATTCTGCTGCAGAACACCTTGAGAGTTACGAGGCAGCATTTATGCTCAACACATTTAATAACTATTGAGGAGTGAATAAAAAGAAAACCATTATAGGTTTCTGTATGTATTTTATAGCACTGTAGTCTTTGGGTTTTCAAAGGGAGTCCCTGACCAGAAGCTAATGCCCCAGAGTGGGGCCCCCAAACAGCAGTGGGGGTCTGACTCCCTGTCCTCCTGTCCTCCCAGCACTGTCAGGGCGTGTCTGGACCTGCTGCTCACCTGGATCCACGCCTACATCGACAGCCAGGACAGCAGCGGCCGGCAAGTGTGCTGCGACATCAGCCTGCATGGACCCTTCTACGCCGCCTGCCAGGCCGTCTTCTACACCCTGGTGTTCAGACACAGAGCCATGCTGGAGGCCAACATGAAGAAAGGTGACAGCAGCCAGGGGGTGACGGGGGTGGGGGGGGTTACCTGCCAGGCTCAGGGCAGGAGCTCAGCTCTCTGTCTGTCTCTCTCTCTGGTTTCAGGGTTGGAGTATCTACAGAGTCTGAACCTGGAGCGGCTGGTCATGTGTCAGCTCAATCCACTCAAAGTATGTCTGCCTTCAGTCACCAGCATGTTCGCAGCCATCACCAGGTACGCACGCACACACACACACACACACACACACACACTGATGGATGGTGGAAGCTTCCACAGACACAACCTCACCTTCAAACCATTTCACATTTTGTTATATTACAGCTACAGATATCAGTACTATCAGTCCTGATGTTGAAAACAATTCTAGATTGGATATCGTGACAATGTGCTCGATCAATAAGGTCAGATCTGTTCACTGTAATTCTATGCTTTGTGCTCCGAGTGATGTCATGCTTTATTATTTATTTTACATTTATTTAGAATTCTAACTGAACCATTTAAAAGAAGGTTATTTGACATGTTTGACCAATTTAGTCAACTTATTGTTTTTATCAGTTTCTCTAGTATTTATTTCTCATTGGCTGTTCTACTCCTACCTGCACTGACTGAACAAATGAAAGTTTTTTTTCTATGTTTGACCGAGACTCTGAAGCTGTTGGTATAAATAAATGTGCTGTACTGGTGCAGAGTTAATTAGGAAGTAAAATAAGCCAGACTGTTTCATCTGAAGCTGCAGGAAGCAGAGCTCTGCATCGTCTCCTGTGTCTGTGTTGCAGGAAGTACCAGGTGGTGTTCTGCTATACCATCATAGAGAGGAACAACAGGCAGGTGCTGCCAGTGGTCCGCAGCTCTGCAGGAGGAGACGGGGTGACCACCAACACCAACCCTCTGGACAGCTTCTTCCCCTTTGACCCCTACCTGCTCAAACGGTACCCCAGCCTCCTGAATCCAGGGTTTCAGGAGGAACTCCCTACATGCTGAGTGTGTCCTTAGCTTTTGGCTGAACGTATCAGAGCACAGAGGAGGAGCAGCTTCATGCAGGTTTTCTGATTCTCCTTCAGAGGCCACAACCACCCAGTTTCCTGAACTTCTTCTGCGCAACTAAATGTTCTAAAAACCGTCTCCTCTGTCCTTTTCCTCTGTGGGAAGTGACAACATATCTTCCTTGGTCTCTGCTCCAATAGCACAGATCTGGAATTGCAAACTGTAGTTGGTTAAAATTCAAAAAATCTTTATTTAACCTATAGGTTAAATAAAGTCTTCATTTGGATGGTGATACAAGAATGATCTCCAGTAGCAGTCAGTGTTGCACCAAATCTGAAGAAGCCTATGATTGGAGACTGTTGGTGTATGACATGCTAGCAGCTCAATATCCAGTTAGCAATATGATATTCCACAGTACCACATCCTGCGTCCCACCATCAGGTGTTAGCTAGCTCTGCTAATCCAGATCATTAGCTTTACCTTCTTCTCTTTCAATCTCTATCAGTCTCAAATTCTCCATTTCAACTCCTCTGTGATGTGGGATCATAGTTCACATATTACTTGAGCTTTTCAGATGATAATCAGCTTCCCCCAGTTGTTAACACAATGCTTTGTTGCCACGGTTACGCAGTATAACAACCATATGAAAGTGAAAATGTAGGAGCAAAAATCCTTCCGGCTGCACAGCATCCAGAACCAGAGGGAACGAAGCGGCAGAACAGACATCAGCTCAGCGCTCCCAAGGTCTCTGACGTTAGGGATTTGTTTTCTGTGTGTGCAGGTCTGGTCAGCTGATTGAACCACTCTATCAGGCTTGGGATGACCTCGCAGAAACCGATCTGCTTCCTCCCAAAACAGCTCAAGAGGTGAGCTGACTGGCTGTCGGGAATGCGACGCATTCACTTTCTGTTTTATCACCGCTCTTCAAGTTACCACTGTTTTCTGTTTCCCCTGCTTCTCTGAATGTTTTTAAACTGTGTCAAAGCTCTGGCATCGACTCATTCACAGTTTTTATGATGCGCTCCTGGATCAAGGTTATCATGAATTGTATTTCTGGATGGTTTCTGTGTTTATGTTCAAAATCCTTTCAGAATCATAGCAGGGAAGGTATTCTGCTCAATTCTTCTTCATCACACTATTCTGTCTTCTGATGACAAACTCTGGCAGCATTTCCATTACAAATATGCGCAAATCTTTGCCGATATTCTGCTAATGTTGAAAAAACACAACTTATTCACTCATAAGTAAACAAGCTTGTTCATGAGATAAGTTATTAAAAATCATGGCAGTGACAAATGTAAACAGTTACATGAGATACATTCATATATCTGTTCAAGCGATCATCTATCAGCCAATCAGAGGAGACTTTGGTGCCTTATTCAGGCATTGGAGCGATAAGCCCCGCCTACCTGGGAGCAGCTACAGAAGCGTTATGGATTCTACTTGTTGGAATGACACACAACATTTTCTGAACTGTGATGTGAAGCTCTGGTGGAGCCAGCTGCACACTGTCTGGAAAACCAGAACAAACCATCATCCTAATCCCACTTCCTGTCACATTTGTCTTTTTCACCAGTAGTAACATCCAGCTGTTGATCACGTGATGCAAAAAAAAGTGTTTCCATTGCAGTTTTGCAAAATACATCTATTTCGATACAACTTAAAAACCACCTCATCCCAACAAAAAACTTTTTGTTGAAAAACGTGTTTTTTAAATTAGTGTGTTTCCATTAAGCAGATTTAGTCTCTAATTTCAATTTGCGCAATTCTGTGGCAGCAACTTTATAAGTTTGTCAGAGTAAAAATCTAAGGAGGAAAAGAGTCTAGGTTTTCCTAATGGTGGTTGCTTCATTTGTTTTAGGCCCAGAAGGAGGATGAAGATGATTTCTTGAGTGGTGAGACGCCACATGGAGACGCCATGCTTGGACTGACCCCCAGCTCATACGGTTCCAACGTCTGCAGCCCCAACAGCGTGGGTTCCCCCCCCACGGCCCAACACCGAGCCTTCAAGTTTTAATCCCTTGCCATGAACCTTTACATCCTGGCAGAGAGCGCTGCTCTCATCAGAAGCTCTGCCTCTGTGCACCGCTGACACCAGAGGATCCATGAACAGTGACTTTATTTCTGCTGCTTAATGCTGCAGCCGCCCACATATGAAGTAGACTTGGGTCATTTTTTAAATTTAGTATTGTACACTACTCCAAGAGCGCTCACACACACCTATGAACATGTTCTATGAATAGATCATGTTTTAAATAAACAGTTAAAGAAGTGGTACCAGGTGTTGGTGTGGTACATATGTGTCCCAGTTCACCAAGTAACCATGGTAACACATGGTAAGCACATGGCTGTACTTAGAGAAAATCTGTGTGTTCAGTTAAACCACAGACACAGCTAAGGTTTCTCAGAACATTTTTCAAATTACACCAACCAGCCCTCCACCTGAGCCATCAGGACTTTCACTGATCAGGAGCTGGACTTCTTACTTAATACAAATCAATCCATGGTTGTCCTATAACTTTCTCCAGCCGAACAGACACAAAACTGAAGTTATTATATTTGGACCTGCAGAAGAATGATCCAGAGTCGGCACAGCTTCAGTTATTACAGCTAGAAACTTGAGATCAGGCTGAACTCTGGGTGTAGTGATAAACTCTGACCTGAACAACATAAAGACGGTTGCGAAGTCAGCCTTCTGTCACCTGAAGAACATTTCCAGGATTAGAGGACTAAAGTCTCAACTAGATCTAGAGAAACTTGGGTAATAAAAAGTCTTAAAAATTGAAAGACTGAAGCAAAAAGACAGGACTTCCACCATGATACACACCCTGCTGGCTATTAATACTAACTCTGTCCGGAATCACTAAAAGGTAACTTGAATTTGTCACAATGTAAAGCAAGAGCCTATCCTTGAATGGAAACACTGACACTTTTACAGTGCCTATAAAAATTAATAACTCCTATTATGGAGGTGGATGTTTTACCCTTTTAATTGCTTTTACAAATTAATCATGACCAGCAAAATTTGGCATTCACAAAAAGTTTAATGTCAAAGTGAAAACCTGTTTACAAAAAATGACAAAACAAATTTATAACATAAAATATGTTGCTGCATAAATTTTCAGCCCCTTTAAAGTGACTGACCTTCTTTTCCTTATCTTTTTTCTCAGGGAGGAGCAACACTGAGTCATGATATTAAAACGTCACTCTTCAGAAATGAAAGTAATATTTAGCTGAAGTGACCACTGAGCTGCTGTGGAGATAAATCTCTGTTTCTTCCTGAAGACTTAAGTTCATGTGTTTCTTCTCAACAATACTGGTGAGTACAGCAGAAATCTGATTTGCTGTTTCTATAAACCAACAGGAAGTTTGAGCTTTTTCTTGTGGACTGAAAGGTGATAGAAAAATTCAGGTTTGCGAAAAACTGCAACACTGAACAAGTTTAAGTGATTTGTTTTTAATGGAAGCTCTCCCTGGCCTGTCCTCAGAGTTCAGACATGCCGTCTGGCAGCAACCTGCAGTCTAAGGATCAGTTTCTCTGCTCCATCTGTCTGGATGTGTTCACTGATCCAGTCACCACAGCGTGTGGACACAACTTCTGCAAGACCTGCATCACTCAACACTGGGATGGAAATGTTCCCTACAAGTGTCCTCTGTGCAATGAGAACTTTGCCTCTAGACCTCAGCTGAGAGTCAACACTTTGTTCTCTGAGATGATTGATCAGTTGAGACGTGAAGCCAGCAGCAGTAGCTCAGAGGAACAAGTTGCCAAAAAAGGAGAGGTTCCATGTGACGTCTGCACTGGACCCAAACTGAAGGCCCTGAAGTCCTGCATGGTGTGTCTGGCCTCCTACTGTCAGACTCACCTGGAGCCTCACCTGACCGCTCCACGTCTGAAGAAACACCAGCTGATGGAGCCGGTGGAGAACCTGGAGGACAGGATGTGTCTGCAGCACGATAAACCTCTGGAGCTGTTCTGTAGGACCGACCAGACATGCGTCTGCTTGCTCTGCCCCATTTTAAACCACAAGAACCATGAGTTTGTTCCTCTGAGAGAAGAATCTAAAGAAAAGAAGGCAGAGCTGAGGAATACAGAGGCTGAAGTTCATGAGATGATCCAAGAGAGACGACTGACGATCCAGGAGATCAGAGAGTCAGTGAAGATCAGCAAAGATGCTGCAGACAGAGAGAAAGCAGAAGGTGTTCAGGTCTTCACGGCTCTGATGGAGTCTGCTGAGCGAGGCCTGAAGGAGCTCCTCAAGGAGATCCAGGACAAACAGGAAGCTACAGAGAAACAGGCTGAAGACTTCATCAGAGATCTGGAACAGGAGATCTCTGAGCTGAAGAAGAGGAGCTCTGAGGTGAAGCAGCTCTCACAGTCTGAAGATCACCTCCACCTCCTCCAAAGCTTCTCCTCCCTGAAAGCTGCTCCACCCACCAAGACCTGGACAGAGGTCAGAGTTCATCCATCATCATATGAGGGGACTGTGATGAGAGCTGTGGCTCAGGTTGAGCAGGAGATCAGGGAGAAGAAGCTGCAGAAGCTGAGTGAGGCTGAGCTGAAGCGGGTCCAGCGGTTTGCGGTGGATGTGACTCTGGATCCTGACACAGCTCAGCCCTGGCTCATCCTGTCTGGTGATGGAAAACAGGTGAACCATGGAGACGTGAGGAAGAATCTTCCAGACAATCCAGAGAGATTTTCCCTGTGTCCGTGTGTTTTAGGACAGCAGAGTTTCTCTTCAGGCAGATTTTACTTTGAGGTTCAGGTTAAAGGAAAAACTAAGTGGGATTTAGGAGTGGCCAGAGAATCAGTCACCAGGAAGGGAAACATCACATTGAGTCCCCAGAATGGTTTCTGGACTGTTGTGTTGAGAAATGGAAACAAGTACAAAGTTTTTGCTGACCCTTCAGTACATCTCCATCTCCATCCTGGTCCTGAGAAGGTGGGGGTGTTTGTGGATTATGAGGAGGGTCTGGTCTCTTTTTATGATGTAGATGCTGCTGCTCTGATCTACTCCTTCACTGGCTGCCGCTTCACTCAGAAACTCTACCCATACTTCAGTCCCTGTAATAATCATGGCGGTACAAACTCTGCTCCTCTGCTCATCTGCCCTGTTGAGCAGGTTGATCATTGCACTGATAAAGATGATGCAGAATGAATCTGATTGACTCTGCAGCAGGTGACGTCCTGCTGGTGGAGAGGAGAGCTTGGAAACGTCCTCAACAGGAAGCGAACAGTTCAGATTCTGTGCTGCAGCTCTGGTTCTCGGTTTCTACACATTTTCAGCTTTTGATTGATTATAACATCAAATAACAATGCTTTTAGCTCAGTTTATTGAATTATTCTACTGCTTGTGTAAGATTTTTATTTTTCTTGTTTTATTGATAAACAGTTTTAGGCCTGCATGAAAATGTTTCAACCTGTACATCAACTGATTTATTTGTAGTGATCGTTTTGTCATTGTGCATCATATTGGAGCTTCAATGTCAGCTGTTTGTAAGATATTTAGACAGCAGGAAGAGATCAATTGATTTGTAATGCAATTGTTCTGTTTTTTTATGTTGAAGGCGGTTGGTAGTAAATTAATGCTGGTTAAAAATGCACCCCACATTTTTCAGATTTTTTTTTCTTTTTGTAAAGAAATTTAACCATTCATATTTTCTTTCAGCTACAACTACTTTGTGTTGGCCTTCCACGTAAAGTGTCAATAAACCAGATGAATATATTTGGTTAGAACCTGCTAAAATAGGAAAAAGGATGGTGGTGAAATACTTTGCAAAGGTATTGTTAATAATCATCTTATTTAATGTTCTGATTCTGTTCCAGTCCTCTGAGAAGTATTTAGTCAAAAACCACTTTTTTAATGTCATATTTTCCTCTGAACGGAACATCATCAGGCTGCATGACGTGACTAAACGAACTCGCCGCAAACAAAGTTCCCTCAGCCAATAGGAACATACTACCGTACCCTGGACCAATCAAAATCAAACCACAGACAACGCGGGTTCACTTTCAGCCAATCACCTTCGTGGTGTGGGTGACGTAGTTCCGTCAGCTGTTCTTGTTTTTGCTTCAGTTTATTTTCCTCCGGGCACTGGAAGTCCGACCGATCAGAGAACCTCTCCGACACCGAATCTGAGCGTTCATCGCCCGGCGAGAGTCTCCACACTGGCCGCTGTCCCACACACCTCGGCCGCTCCACTTTCCCTCTGAGCTGGAGCCGTCCTCCGCCGCAGACATCGAGGGAAACGGTGAAACGGATCCCGGGCCTCCAGTCCAGTTCGGAGGGGGGGAAGGAGGTCGCTGGGAGGCGGGATGGAGGGCGCGGACGGAGCGGGCGAGCCGGGCCGGCGCCGCCAGTTCGGCTGCGCCTCCTTCAACCAAGACTCCACGTAAGCAAGCGGCTCACGCGAGGATGAGTCATCTGAAGACCCGTCCGCGGAAATAGCTACTCTTAGCTGATAAGTGGCTGAAGTCTGTCCAGAACCAATGAGTTCTGCTCTTTGTGGACGTTAGAACCAGCTGGTAGCTCTGACCCACCTATACCAGCAGTCCCAGTTACCGAACCAGTTAGTGGTTTATCAGCATTTGGACTGGAAGTGAAGCTGTGGGCCTTAACACTCTGACATCCTCCAGCTCCTTCCATATGTTTGCTGAATTTGTGTTGTTCTCGTCCACAGAATGTACTCAGAACAGGCAAAACATTATGACCACTGACGGATGAGGTGAATCTCCTCTGTTATCTGCCCATAATGAGCAGCTCTCCATTATGACGGTCCCTGCTGTTGTGGGGCTGGGGGGACATTTTGTTCTCTGAGCTTTGGTGGAGGTAAGAAAGTGTGACTAGCATCAGGCTGAGATGGACCAGAGCTGCTGCTCACTGTGGGGCTCACTACATGGAGCTTAAATCAGCATCACAATGTCAATATGTGCAACACTGCAGACATGGAGGGCAGCTATATAATGTCAGGAGCCATGCCTTCAACTCTGCTGCTCTCCAATAAAAGTTTTAATCATTTAAATAAATTTTTATTGTCTGATATGGAGTTTAGAAAATTCAGAAAGCTCTGGGCTCAATGACCTCATGGGAAATAAAGAAAGTTCTTAGAACATGTGGGTTAATATTATCGGAATATTCTATAATGAGGTAAATTATTACGTTTTACTAAAATCCCACAGCTTTAGCCAATGCCATGTTGCAGACTGTGTGCGTGTTTTAAACGTTATTCCTTTCTGGCTGTGGAATGGTTTGAGAAGAAAAAGTCTGGATTTTAATCCAATGGATTATCTGTGCGGGGGCGGAGCCAGAAAAATATTCATAGGGCAGCCAACGACTGATCAGCCCCAGAGCCACTTTGGATAAATATATTCTGTCCAAGCATACATCACTTCTGCCACCTACTGTTTTGGAGGGGAACTGCTGGCTCCGATGGGACGCTCTACTGGGCACTTACCTCTCCATGGGACCAACCAATCGCTTGGCTCTCTGGCTCCGCCCCTTCATATGTGGGATGTCTGGCCAATGGAAACCTAACGGCTTCCAGAACCAATACCATCCACTGCATCTTTGAGTCAAACTTTCATGAATCCAGGCTGTTTTGGTAGCAAAATGGTGGCTCACCACATCATAAGGCTCTTATTGCAGTTACCTGATGTAGGCATAGTGCAGCAATCATGTCAGCTCCCATAAACAGACACATAGAACCTGTTTTATTCCCACCCTTGTGTTTGGATCAGATACAGAATTTAAACCTGGAAAGGACCAGATGATGGTTTCTTATGCTCAGTTTGGTGAAACATCAACCCTCATTTTCCAAGGCTAATCTGTGAAAAGGGAATATTAAGATGTATAATTAGTTTTATACAATATTAACAATCTCATGTTTCTTGAAAGAGCAGTTTGCTCTTTAGCATGCAGGTTCAGTTGTAGTTATTTAAATAGCCAGATCTTCCTATCGTAATGCACCAATTCCTCTCTATAAGGTCTGAGCTGTCTGATTATGTACAATCAAGTCTTTCGAGCTGTTCATCATAATAATGTTATTCTCTCATCAAAAACATACCTGGAGTGTTGCTTTGATTCTTTTATGCATGTTTGAGAAGACCTTTAATCCCCATGACAACCATTCAATTGTGCAAAATGTCTGGGTGAACCCTTCGAGGCGCAGCTCCTCCTCAGGGCTGCAGTTTTCAAGCACCTATCTCCCTCGACTTCCCCACTCAGCTCCTTCAGACTAGCCGGCAGCAGTTAGCAAACATCTGGTGGAACTGTGCATCTGCTGAGCTCATTATAGGAGCTACTTCTCAATGCAACGCTGGCAGAAAAGTTAAGGAGTTAATAGAGGACCCATGTGGTGATGACATCTTGAAGGTGGGGTTTCAGAAAGAGCAGGAGTTTATTTTAGATAGAGGCCCAATTTTAAGGTGTTATATTTCTTTCAAGTCATATTTGATTTATATGTAGTTACTTAACTGTGTTATAAAATGTCACTATGTCCCTGGAAAACACAATACTGTCACTTTAAAGGAGAAATGATCTAGTTTTATCTCCAGTATAAAAACTTATTCTTGACTGGTTGATTGATTAGCAGAAACATCTTTTGTCACATGAGGCAGCAGAACTCATCGACTGTGATGATTTACAGTTTTAAATGCTCACATCATAGAAATGGTCCAGAGCTGCTAGGTGACCTATGTGGAGTTGAACCAGCCGAGCATGGATCCCTCACTTCCTGTATAAGAGCCACACAGCATGACAGATCCTCCACCATGTCCAGCATGACATGTTTTATCAATGCAGTCCTCTCTGAACACAGTTTCAGTTAAAATCCTTTAAGAGTTTGATAAGCTGCACACGATTGCTCTCGTGATGTCTAACCAGAAAAGCCGTTTTCATAGCGTCACCCTGAACCAGTTTGGATGTCTAACAGCTGTGTGTGTTGCAGGTCACTGGCGTTGGGAACAAGGAGTGGCTACCAGCTTTTCTCTCTGACCTCGGTGGAAAAACTGGACTGCATCCATGAGAGCGGTCAGTAGCCGATCCTGAGTTTGGACTAAACTTCTCTCCCTGGTTAACGTTCAGTTTGCTTTTTCAAATCAAACAGGAATACACCCTACACTGTGTCTGGTAAAGACACATCTGTCAGGTTGCTACAGGCCAGTCTGTGCTTGTGTATGTGCTGCTCAATGTCCTAATGGTGGAGAAACAACTTACAGTTCCAGGAAAAACTGTTTATCTGCCGTCATTGGGAGCTATGCTAACTAGCCTTAGCGTTCAAATGGCAGGCTTTTTGGCAAGCCAGCTGTAGCGTGGCAGAGGTAGGGTATGAGCGACACGTAAACGAGGGTGATTGACAGTGTTGAGACTCTCCTCCTGGCTCTGATTGGTTGCTTCTGACTGAATGGTGTATTTCTGCAGTTGCCCTGGGAGAACTGGGAGAAGGCAGAGGAGCTCGATTCTTTTAACAGATGATCTGCTTTATATGATACTGTGACGACAAAATGATAAATGTAACAAATATGTAAAAAACATATTTTTTAATAAAAACTACATACTGCAGTCGTTGATGATCCATGATGATCAGGCTAAACATCCATGTTTCTGTCACCAGATGATTCCTCACTACAAATATCATTTAACATACTTTTTTAAACTAAAGCTACAAAATATCCCTAACAAGGTTATGTCATACATATTTTCACCTAAACCATAAAGTTGTCAGGCTCCAGCTGTCTGGCTGATGGTTTCATGTTGTGGATGTAATCACCTCCTCTGGTTACGTCTGATAGGCCGTGAAAGAAGATCTCTGCTCTGTGTTGTTTTCCAGCGAACACTCCAGACGTCTACATCGTGGAGCGTCTGTTCTCCAGCAGTCTGGTGGTGGTGGTGAGTGCTGCCATGCCGCAACGGATGAACATCTATCACTTTAAGAAAGGGACGGAGATTTGTAACTACAGCTACCCCAGCAGCATCCTTTCCGTCAAGCTCAACAGACAGGTGACTCGCACCGTTTCAGCTCCTGGTCTGTGTCAGTTGAAGATCATCCTCATGCCAATGGGAGACTAAATGTTCAGATTATCCACATTTAGTCTGCATTTAAGCAGATATCCAGAGCGTACGACTCCTGTTTAAAATAACTCAAAAAAAGTCTGTTTAGTGTGTGTTGATGCCTTTATAGACTGAAAATATTGGGAGTTCTTAGCTTAATGCATTTAATGAACAAGAAAAGAACATTTAGAGTTTCAGTCTTTACCCAACATATTATTTTAATTAAGATTTCACTGCTTTCATTTCTAGTAAAATGTGTTACCTCTCCCATTTTTTTAGCTTTTAACATCCTCCAGCTCCATTTTGTTGCTTATTATAACAGGAGGGCGAGTGAAGAGCAAATATTCTGGGATTTGATTGATGTGAAAGTTTATGTTCAAGAGCTTTATAATGCAGCCTTGAGCCTAAAGAACAAAAAGGCCTGCAGTATGGATGAGGTGTCTGCAGAACACTTAAGATTCTCAAGCTCCCTTTGCTTGCTTTGTGTTTCACTGGAGTTTTAGCTGTTAGTGCCGATTATAACATAAATATGGCAAAATAAATAAGGACAGTTAT